TATATATATATACACATACATACATACATGTGTGTATTTTTTGATGAAAAAGGGATATAATTTTTTAAGAGAAAAATTTCACAATGTCTTAAATTTCAACAAGTGTTCCATATTCAGAATCCTAGAATATGAATGTTTAATCTAATGTTTAAAATGCAGTACGTTTTGACATGGAAGACCAGTTTTAGAATCTGGTTTCCTCTAGAACATTTTTTCCCTCTGAGAATTATGTTATTGCTATCTGTAATAATATATAGTTTTCAATGTTAGAAATATTCAGTTAAGAGGAACTACATATTTTGCCTATTATTGCTCTTCTAACCTTCAAAAATCTAGCCTTTAGCCAAAAACATGTATTTCACTTATGAAATGATTTTTTTCAGTAGCAAACAAAATGTATCTCTATCAAAGTAGTTTGGTATACTCAGAATGTGTTATAACTTAGAAGAACTAGCCAGGTGAAAGAGCCCCCAAACTCATAGCCCACAGCAAACACCCAGAGCCTGGCTAAAGCAGCATGTGTGACCATGCTGATTTCCTCCGTGCCACCAGCCAGCACCTTCAGGAAGAGCATGCAGAAGTTCAGGAAGGAGAGAATGTTGATCTGAGCTCCAACTAGCCTGCTCCTCTTCCTATTATAATGCACATGTCCTTTTAACAAGGAATGTGGAAAAAAGAGAGAGAGAGAGAGAGACAGTATACATGGCATAAAGGGAGATAAAGCACAAAGTCAGGGTGTTCCAAATATTACTTTGAATTCTTTGAAGGATATATTGCACTTTAGGGGGGAAAAAGTCATCCTCAAAGAAAGGCAACAAATGAATTTCTTCCTCCAGCAAGAACTGCCCCACCTCTAGCTTCTTTCTCCCTGACAGTGTAAGGAGAACATCTTTCTCCAGGATGACCCATCTCCACTCCCAGTGAAGTTTCAGCTACTTCCTATGGTCTCCATTCTTTGAGCATCCTCACTTATTTTTGTATGATTCTATTCTTTCAGGCTTCTCAGTTGCCATTTTCATGGAGTGCTTCATATTTATTTACATTTCAGATAGTCGCTACTACTTTCTAAGACTTGGGGCAAACATGGGCAAGGCCAGCTCCTAAGTGTATGTTTTCTTCCATACTTTCAGAAAGTCACTAATCAGTTTAGTAGTTGACACTCAAGTTCCCTATTAATTAGCTCATCTGGCAGATCTACTGGTGGTTTTATACTGCTTGAACAACCCATCAAAATCAACCTGTTCCAAATGGTAAATATTTCCACGAGTTAGAGACATACTCCACAGGCATGTTTCTACTCAGCAAAAAAGCACTGTGCAGAGGAGTATACTGGACTCCACACTAATTCAGGTCACATCTAATCTGTTTCTTGGAAGTGGTGCTCGTCTCTTTTTAGTACAGGATGAATAACTCAGATGCAAAAAGATGATCAAAACACATATTCCAACAATTAGGATGTGCTCTCCTTGGGCCTCTGCTACAGGAGGTCTTCTAGAAACAGAAGCACTGTCACACAGGTAAATTGCGGTTTTAATTGTCTCTAGGTTGTTTGCTCCTTGTTTTTCCTTTAGCAATAGAAAGAAACGAGAAACACACTCACCACACCGTAGGAATATGTGTCACAAGTTTCAGAGACAGGGAGACTCTGGATAACTTCGGGAGCCATCCACGGGAAAGTTCCAACCAGTGACATGTGTGTTGTATGGTTATGGAACCGAGAAGCACCAAAGTCACAGATCTGAAAACAGAGAAACCAGAATCAAGTTTCTCCATATTGACTAGTAAAACAACTGTCAGTCATGGAATTTACATCTAAAATTAACAATTTTTTAAATTAAAAGAAATAAGTGAGAAAGGAACCAAAAGATGCTGAGGGAGGGATGGAAGAGAGAGGAAGGGGATGTAAAAGAATTAAGGTGTGTCATGTACAGGTACCCACTACTCACAATGAATGTACTCATTATGCACCGCAGACATATACTAAAAAATTTAAAAAAGAAATAGTCTTACCTTCAATACTCCGTCAGCTGCTATAACAACTAAAAGAGAAAAAGATAAATTATGACAATCATCTAATTTGTTTGAATAGTCTTTTACTGAAGAAAGCATAACTTTCTTTTCCTAGCTTTTATGTGACTAACTTTCCAATTTCGTATTATAAAAGGTAAATTCAAAGCATTCATTGCATTGAGGATTTTGCAAAAGGGAGCTAATTTTAAATCCAAAGCTTAATTCTATGAGCTACTAATGTACATGACTCCTAAAATACTTGTTTTATACAATGCATTGCTATCCACTGAAAAAAGGAATGAAATTAGTTAGGAGAACCAAATTTTTACCTGGGTCCTGCCAGTAGCAGCTAAGATGAAACTGAGGAGGTCATTATCATTACTACATCATTGTTTACACTGTTTTTCTTCCCAAAGAATAATTTTCTTAAACAGTGACAATATTCATTCATTCATTCATTCACTTATTCATGCATTCATTTAACAACTATTTGCTGAAAACCTGCTAGATCAAGGCCACGTATATGTTCTGGAACAGAAAGGTGAGTAAGACTAGTATGGCCTCTGTTGTCATGAAGTTTACCATCAAAAAAGAGAGGCAATTAAATAAACATCTGCAATAAAGTAGCATAAATACCATCATTAGAGAAAGTGAGAGTATTCTAGAATCAATGAACAGGGAATCTGAGTCAGTCACGTGAAGCTTCCAGGAAGAAATGATGTTTATGCTAAGAACTGAAAAGCTGAACCAGAAAGAGGAGAGCTGAGAAGGCAGAAGAGAGGCTATGAAAAAGGTCAAGAGCCGTAGGAAACAACTCTGGAAGGTAAGGGCCAGGTCAGGAAGAGCCCTGGCAAGTGGAGGAACGAAGTGAGCAAGCGTGCAGGGGACACACTGCATCAGAGAAGAACAGAATGGAGGCAAGGAGAGCACCAGGCAGGCAAGTGGCCGTGGTCCAAGTGATGTGGATGCGATACAAGGGCTGTGAGAAAGGACAGGCAACAGGTGCACAGAGCCCAGAAATACCTCAGATGCTAGATTAGCTGGACTTGGTGAGGGGAGGAAAGAATGGGCTCAAAGACTAAAGAGGCAATCTAGTTTAATGGTCAGAACCAGAGCTCTGGACTCAAACTGTCAATTCCTTCGTGTTTAATGCCTTATGTCGGCAACTGCTATTGCCACTCACAGAAAAGGAAGGATGGTGTGATTTTTTTGAAGGAGGAAGGAGAAGACAGAAAGTAATTTGAACAGAATATATTCTGGGGTCAAGTAAAATATCTATGTAGTTATATCTAATAAGCAGATACAGAGTTTTGAATTTGAGATTTGTTTATGTTGAGATGTAAGTGCGGCTCTCATGGGAAAGGAGGCCAAGGACAGAATCCTGAAGACATGCTTTTGGTATATCTTTTATAAGCACTCATGCCTTGAACATGGCAGATGATCAATTTAGTGCTTAGCAGCAGCTATTAATGACTTTGATAAATGGAGAAAATCATCTTCACATGACTGAACACAGCAATAGCCTCAAAGTAAATATTACAAATAATAAACTATAAACTTTTGCAAATACTGCTAATAGCATATTCAATTGTTTTAAAAATATCCACTGTTTTTTCTCATTATAAGATTAACAAATGCTTCTTTTAAAAAATAGCATTACACTGGGGCCGGGGATTTGGCTCAGTGGTTGTGCTGCCTGCCTCACAAGCGCAAGGACCCTGAGATTGATCCCTGGTACCACAAAAAAAAAAAAAAAAAAAA